AAATATGTGTTGGAAAATGGTAGTGGGGGCACATGCCCCACTCTCTCTAACGTGGATCCGTGCCTGTATTTTTTTTGGTAGAAAGGATCCGTGCCTGTATATATATACACACATATATTTGAAGAGAAATATTCCTAATGAAAAATGAGAATTATAAATATAAGTAATAACATCTATTTTAAATGTTAAAAAAAACAAAAACATAAAAACACATATAACTTTTTAAAATGGTCATGTGATTTTAATAGTGAAAGTATTTTAGATTCAATTTTGTTTGGTTAAAAAAATAATTGTGACCACTAGCGCTACTACTAAATAATTTTTAATATTGATGATCTGGATTATTATCCCTGCATTCATAAAATGAGAATTGCTCTCATTTTTATTATTTGAAGTTATTAATTATTTCTAATAACTTATTATCATAAAAATCAAGATAATAAGTTTTAAATTTTATATTACAAAGAAATGATGAAAATTTGACAATTTTATATTTTAAATGACAATCATACTCTTTTTTGTGATGTGTTTTTTTCTTTCACAAAGAAATATAATTTAATTAAATGACATATTGTTTAAAATAATTTTTAAGATTTAAATATAATAATATTATTTTTAAGCAAGAAAGTTTGTAAAGCAGAAGCATAATGACAACCAATAATGACAATAATAATTAATGAGTTGGTCATAAATGTCATAAAGGATGCACGTTGTTGTTGTTGTGTAAATATGAGAGCAAAATATGTAGAAGTTGGAACTTGACATCATCAATAATGATAAAATAGGCGAGAATTTTTAAATTAAAAATAAAAGTTTCAAACAAATTAGTGTATATAAAAATAATAATAAAAGAAAAAAATGCATATAACTTATAAGCTAGTTGAAATAACATAAATTAAATTAAAAATTAATGGTTTTATTAAATAAATTTATTATAGTTGTAGCAACCTCGGTCGCGACGGGACGGCGAATAATAAATTGAAAAAGAGGAGTCGCCACCAATGTTGTTTTTTATGGAAAAAAACATTGGAAAAACCATAAACTAGAAAATAGTCTACGAAACCAAATTTTTGAGTTCGGGAGTCGATTACGTGTGAGGAAGGTATTAGCACCTCACAACGTTCGTCCTAAGACGATTACCTTTAATTAATTAAACTAATTATTTATAATTTATAAAATATTTACCTCACTAAGATGATCAAACATATTTTATTTAACTAAACTTTTATTGTATATATATAAAAAATGTTAAAATTATTATTGTTATATAAAAAGGAAAATAATATATTTTTATTTTTTGGCTCGACAAGATTTAAATCTTGCTCCTACGTATCTTCATGTGTAATGAAGAATCAGAGTCACGTAGTTCTTTGTAGAAAATGTTTGTGTGTTGATGTTTTTATTTAAATTTATTTTTGTTAAATATAGGATTCTTAAACTGTCTCAGCTCATTCACCCTAAAAATATAAAATTGACTAAGGTGTACACCAAAGTCAATTCAATAAAATTTTAATTATAATTATTGCTAGAGATGTTATGATCTTAAAAATTTCTTGGTTGGACATTTTCGTTTTTGGAGAAAAGAATTTAAAGATAAATTGTCGCAACTTGTACTTTAAATTCAAAGGTTAAAAAGATGTCACATCTAGTTAACCATTCCTCCAATAAAATTTTGATACGATAATTCAAATATTTATATTGAATATTCTAACACTTATATTTTGATACTTAACTAATTTTTGAATTTAAATAAGGACATTAAGATGACAAATCGTCACGACTTACACCTTTAAGCTCTAGAATCAAGAGAATACTACATTTAAATAATCTTTTTTAATACGATAGATATTATTAATATTATTATTATTACTGTAAGATCTGTGAACTGTCACAATTCACATGTCCTGCAGGATGGAACCAACTAAGGTGTACTCCTTAGCTAATTCTTTTTATAAAATGGTTTGATATGTTTTAAAGTTCTAGAGAGATGTTTTAGAACTATCAAATTATCACAATTTGTACTTCCAAGTTTCTAGGATTAAATAAATGTTTCATCTAATTAATTCACTCCCTTTAAAACAAAATGTTAGAAAAGTCCTCTCCTTTTTATTGTGAATAAAAATATTGTTTTCATGACTTAATCTAGCTTAACAATTGTGAAATATTTCATTTTTAGGAGAAAACTTAGAACTACAAAGTTGTCACAACTTGTGTCCTAAGACTTCGAGATTAAGAAGACGTCACGTCCAATTAATTTCTTAATAAGATAAATTTAAGCTATGGTTAAGCGTATTGTAAGAAGGTAATTTAAAAATGATCAAATACACATCCAATAAGAAAATATGGATTACCTAAAACTTAAACTATAGTGTTATTTATCTTTCTTGCTTTATTTATTTTTAATATTGCCTCGTTAGTTTAGTGCATATTTTATTTCTTATTTATGATATTAAGTACGTATAGGCTTTAGACATAATTCTTACAACATAAACTAATCTAAGCCTACACAACAGTAAAGGTAATATATCTGCCGAGTAGCTTAAAAATAAAACATGTTTAAAGCAACGAATAATTAAACAAATGGATGAACATAGATGGGAGTTGCGTGCAACAGTGACAATGGGAAAACCATTCAGGCATGATTTCTTTGCTTTTCATTTTATATATAAATCTTTAGAAACTAGAAAGTGACTTTTAAAACAAAACATGCGTGATTATTTGCTTTCATTGTATATGTGTATTTTCAAAAAGTGGCCCAACGTGAATGTATGAATGACATGAAGTGACCAATGCTTTGACGTGGTGACTTCTTGTGGAGATTCCGTATGCAAGCTAATAATAACCAGGCACAGTGAATAGGTTGAAAAATGATTTACCTTACCGCTTCTTCTTTCTTTCACGGATTCTTTCTTCCTCCTTATGCTTCCAAACCTCTCCTCCTTCCTCTACCGTTTCCTTCTTCTCTTCTCCGCCTTTTCCAAAAGGAAAAGACCCCCTCTATATATTGTTCTCTTTTTTCATCCCTGAATTCCTCTTTTTTCTTTCACTTCTATTGAGGATTGTTTTTCAATCAAAAGGGAAAAGCCGCAGGGGCAGCATAAATAGCCTTTTAGGAGAACAGGGCTTGCACTACCTTGTATGAGAATAGGAGGAACGTAGGGGGTGCAAGAGAAAGTCTCTGTTTCTCAAACTCAAAATGATGCCTCCTAATTCTTTTACATGGTTTTATTTTCTGACTCCTTTATACATTGTTTGATTTTTTATTTCTTTCTATTTTTGTTATTTTATTTTGTATTATATATTAGAAGGAAAAATCTCCGATTAATTACTTTATACATATATTGTTCATTTATCTTTGAATAATTGATTTGGAGATATTTTTGTGAAAGAGATTATTAAGAAAATTGATGGAACAAAATTGGTGTTTACAGTTGCCCCTCTTTACTTATCTTTTACCAAATGATATGAGTAACATGAGTTTCCATATCATAGTAGTAAAAGATAAGTAAAGACTTAAACTCCAATTTCGTTTAAAACAAAAGTTGCATGTATTAGAGAAAAGATAATCATGAGATTGTAGCATAAACTGGAGAATATAAGGTCTAAAAGCAATAAGAATAGTAGACTCACAGTTCCAAACTATTGAGAGTTAAGATCATAGGGCTCAAAACATGAAAAAAGTGAGCGCGGGGCTCGAAACATAAAAGAGCGAGCACGGGAAATCAAAAGATTGATAGAGTGAGCATAGAGACTTGACAATTAAAAGAATGAGCACGGGGGCTCAAAAGATTGATAGAGTGAGCATAAAGGCTTGACAATTAAAAGAATGAGCACGGGGCTCAAAAGATTGATAGAGTGAGCATAGAGGCTTGAAGATTAAAAGAGTGAGCACGAAGGCTCGAAAGATTGATAGAGGCTTGAAAATTAAAAGAGTGAATATAGAGGCTTGAAAATTAAGAGTGAACATAGAGGCTTGAAAATTAAAAGAGTGAATATAGAGGCTTGAAAATTAAAAGAGTGAATATAGCGGCTTGAAAATTAAGAGAGTGAACATAGAGGCTTGAAAATTAAAAGAGTGAATACAGAGGCTTGAACATAGAGGCTTGAAAATTAAGAGTGAACATAGAGGCTTGAAAATTAAAAGAGTGAGCACGAAGGCTCGAAAGATTGCCAATCTCATTGCCAATCTCCTTAAAGTTTTCTTGTCATTTTCTGAAGCTCCAGGAGGGTACTCTCTGTCTTTTAGATAGCGCTTGATGTCATAGAACCATGGTTTTCCGTCTGGTTCTTCCTCTATTGCTTGACAATATGCTGGTTGACCTTGATTCTGTATTCTTATCAGTGGAACCTCTTTTCCTTGACTAATCTTGAACATCGAAGACAATGTAGCCAGGGCATCAGCCAATTGATTTTCCTCACGAGGGATGTGATGGAAAGTTATTTCCTCAAATTGTTCCATCAAATTTTTGATGTATGAGTGGTATGGAATTAATTTAGAATCCCGAGTTTCCCATTCATCTCTGAGTTGATGAACAACCAATGCTGAGTCTCCATAAACTTCTAACACTTTAGCTTTAAATTCCAAAGCTGCTAGAATCCCCATTGCACATGCTTCATACTCTGCCACATTGTTAGTGCAATCAAAACCTAACCTTGCGGTGAAAGGGATTAACTGGTTCTCTGGAGTAATCAACACTGCCCCAATTCCATGCCCTAGTGCGTTAGAAGCTCCATCAAACAACAACTTCCACTTCTCTCCATTCATGGACTCTCCCTCCTCAAATAAAGCCATGATATCTTCATCTGGAAAATCATATTCCATTGATTGATAATCCTCTATGGGTTGATGAGCCAAAAGCTCAGCCAATGCACTACCTTTAACAGCCTTTTGGGTTACATATACAATATCATACTCTTACAACAACATTTTCGATCTGTCTAGTCTACCTTTCAAATCATTCTTTTCAAATATATACTTGATCGGGGCCATCTTGGACACTAACCAAGTAGGGTGACTTAACATGTACTGTCTCAAACGCCGAGTAGCCCAAGCCAAAGCACAACAGGTTCGCTCTAGCAAAGAATACCTTCTTTCACAATCTGTAAACTTCTTGCTCAAGTAATAAATCGCTTGTTCTTTCTTTCCAGACGCATCATGTTGCCCTAGTGCACAACCCATAGATTCATCAAGTACCGAGATATACAGAATGAGAGGTCTCCCTGAAATGGGAGGTACCAAAACTGGAGGGTCTTGTAAATATTGCTTGATCTTCTCAAAAGCTTTTTGACAATCTTCATTCCATACCACTGGTTGACTCTTGCGCAGTAACTTGAAAATCGGATTGCAGGTGGCAGTTAATTGAGATATGAATCTGGCAATGTAGTTCAACGTACCCAAGAAACCACGAACTTCTTTTTCTGTACTAGGAGCTGGCATTTCTAAAATTGCTCGCACTTTGTCAGGATCAACCTCTATACCCTTTTCATTAACTACAAATCCCAACAACTTTCCTGACTTCACACCAAAAGTACATTTGGCAGGATTAAGTCGGAGCTTATATTTCCTTAGCCGCACAAATAGCTTTTGTAGATTTATGATATGCTCTACCTCTGTTCTTGACTTAGCGATCATGTCGTCGACATAAACTTCAATCTCTTTGTGCATCATATCATGAAACAAAGTCACCATAGCTCGTTGATAGGTTGCTCCAGCATTCTTCAATCCAAAGGGCATCACTTTGTAACAAAATGTTCCCCATGATGTAATAAATGTAGTTTTTTCCATATCCTCAGGAGCCATCCTTATTTGATTATATCCTGAAAATCCATCCATGAACGAAAAGAAAGCATGTCGGGCAGTGTTATCCACTAGAACATCTATATGTGGCAATGGGAAATCATCCTTGGGACTAGCCCTGTTAAGGTCTCTGTAGTCAACACACATTCGAACTTTTCCGTCTTTCTTTGGAACAGGAACTATATTGGCAACCCATTGAGGGTACTTCGCCACTGCAAGGAATCCAACATCAAATTGTTTCTTTACCTCTTCTTTTATCTTTAAAGAGACCTCTGGCTTCATGCGCCTCAATTTTTGCTTAACTGGTGTGCATTCGGGGTTCAATGGTAAGTGATGCTCAACTATGCTAGAATCCAACCCGGGCATGTCTTGGTATGACCACGCGAAGACATCGACATACTCAAATAACAACTTAAGCAACTTATTTCTTTCTTCTCCTTTTATAGCAACTCCTATTTTTATTTCTTTTTTATCATTTTCATTTCCCAGATTAATCACTTCAAGTTCTTCTTCATGGGGTTGGATCACCCGATCCTCTTGTTCCACCAACATTTCAATTTCTGGTGGGGTGCTCAGGTCATCGTCATCCTCTTCAGCTTCATTAATGGGGTGATCAAAATTGTGACATGGGATGTTAGCATTATTATTTTTGGCATGGTTATTATCGGATCTGCAATTTAGGGTTGGCGAAAGAAAATGAAGGTTGGAGCAATAAACGAAAGAAAAGAAAGATTAAAGGATATAATGGACACATGATAGAATATCAAAATGCATTTCATTCATACGATATACTAAAAGACAACATGCACGCCCTGTTAACAAAAAGTCATACTAAACTCACGGGCATAATCATAGAGTTTGTGTTACAATTACTTTGAAATTGAATTAAGAGTCACAGGAAATTCAACGATCTTCCAGTTGCGGAGCTCTTCACATGGGTCACACAGATATATGAAGTTGGCGTGATTATCATCATCATCTTCCTTAATCATAGCCACTTGATCTGCGTGCACCACCCCCCCGCTTCGAAAGCTTTGATAAAGGTGACAAATGGGAATCTTCTGAACTTTAGGCTCTCGATTCTCTAGACGAGCCAACCTTTTCTCTTTATTCTCCTCTGCCATTCTTCTTTTATCGGCTTGAGTAGGTTTGTACCCTAACCCCCATCGATTCTTATTTTCTGGCAAATCTATCAATTTTGTGACTCCTTCCAAGCATTTTCCCAACCCAAGTCCTGGCTGATACCCTCCATTCATCATGACCTTTGCAACCATCATGGATGCACTTGATGATTGTGGACTTCCCATTGGAGATTCAACATAAGCAGTACTAATTATTTCCAATGACTGAAATGAGGTTTCCAAAGCCTCCTCAGTTGCTTCAATATAACGAGTGGGAGTAGGACAACTCACCAACATGTCTTCCTCTCCTGAGACAATCACTAGCTTGTCCTCCACGATGAATTTCAGCTTCTGATGTAAAGAAGAGGGAACAACCCCAGCTGAATGGATCCATGGCCTTCCCAACAAACAACTGTATGCAGGTTTGATATCCATGACTTGAAAAGTTATGTTGAAGGTGAATGGGCCAATCTGGACAGGGATCTCGATCTCTCCCATAACTTCCCTTCGTGATCCATCAAAGGCCCTCACAATCATGGAACTTGGTTTCATATGTGTCCCATCACAAGGCAATCGATCCAGTGTTGACTTGGGCATCACATTCAATGAGGACCCATTATCGATAAGCACTCTAGCCAAAATGTGATTTGCGCATTTCACAGAGATGTGTAAAGCCTTGTTATGTCCCCTTCCTTCAGCTGGGACTTCATCATCTGTGAAAGTTAGGTGGTTATTGGCTGTAATGTTACCAACGATGCCGCCAAATGTGTCTAGTGTGATGTCATTGGACACATGAGCTTCATTCAAGATCTTCATCAATAATTTTCTATGACTCTCAGAATTCATCAGCACTGACAACAAAGATACTCTTGCAGGAGTATGATTTAATTGATCAATAAGCTTGTACTCACTTTGTCGAATAAACTTAAGAAATTCTGAGGCTTCTTCATCGGATACTTCCTTTTTCCTTTCATCCACGACTTTTTTATCATCTCTCCTCCTAACACCTGAAACCCCTTCATTGATGATTGTATTTTCCTTTTCCTCATGGTGTCTTGTAAAGTCTTTTACTCTCAACTCTTCTGGGGTATAGACTCTACCACTACGGGTCATTCCACCTACCCCCGTGATATTTGTTATGTTGGTTCTTGCAGTATCGACACCTTTTTTTTGTTGGGCATTCAGGTAGTCACTCTTTACCTTCGCATCGTAACGCCATGGAACCGCCTTAGTGTCCTTGTAATGAAAAGGAGCTGGAATTTGCACAACAAGTGGCTTAAGGGTACTAGGTGTTGATGTCTGATTGGATCATCAATACATCCTCTTTTGTTCGCACCTGGCTCACCTGAACCAAGTTTGAGTTAATCATGCCCTGCAATATTTGCTTGAACCTGTCACATTCCTCAATAGAATGTGCAGCTGTAGGGTGGAGATCACACACTCCTGCTTCGCGAGACTCTCCCTTAATCATCCCATATTTGCACAATTTTGAAAAAATGAATCTCATGGGGGTTCGAATCTTCTCTACTTCTGTCACTTGTGGAGTACATTTGGAGTAGTCATATTGGACTTCTCGTCTGATTGGATCATCAATACATCCTCTTTTGTTCGCACCTGGCTCACCTGAACCAAGTTTGAGTTAATCATGCCCTGCAATATTTGCTTGAACCTGTCACATTCCTCAATAGAATGTGCAGCTGTAGGGTGGAGATCACACACTCCTGCTTCGCGAGACTCTCCCTTAATCATCCCATATTTGCACAATTTTGAAAAAATGAATCTCATGGGGGTTCGAATCTTCTCTACTTCTGTCACTTGTGGAGTACATTCTTCTTTGATAACATTAACTGATGAAGTCCCATGACCTGGAAGTGGATTACTTCTTACATTGGGCTCGCTTTCTTTAAAGCTTAATAATCCCGCTTCTATCAAGTCTTGTACCTTGTGTTTCAAACCCCAACATCTCTCAGTTGAATGACCTATCGTTCCAGCATGATATTCACATTTGGCATTTGGATCATAACTTCTTGGATATGGAGGTTGGACAGGCTTTATAGGAAAAGGCACAATTAGAGCATTTTGAACCAGTTGTGGTAGCAGTTCAGTGTAGGTCATAGGGATCGAAGTTAGAGTCCTTTGTTGATTGTTACCCCCTCTTTGAGCGTTACTCACAATATAACTTTTATTAATGTTAAGATAACAATAATTATTCACGTGTGAATATCATATTATTCTAAGAAAAAAAAAACAAATAATATAATTATTATACGAATATCTAAGTCCATCATATATGATTTTTTAACAAGTTTGATTTTAGAGTATCTTCACACATCTTTAAGTCCATTCTATCATCAATTGTATCTTTCATGTCACTTCATCAAATTACTTCAATTCTCAACATCATAGTTAAAGATGAAAATAAGTTACATTTTAAATAAACACCTATAATCTAACTTATTTAAAGTAAGGATAAAAAAAAAACTTGTAGCCATGGATATCCATGAATAAAATGCATTATAGATTTTAAATAGGTAATTAAATGGATACCCCCTTATTAATGGGACGGGGATAGACAACAAAATACTCATACTTGCGGGTATTCACACTTTAAAAATACTTTTATTTATATATAAAGTAGTTCACTTAAGTTGCTTCCCATGAATTTGCAAAAACCTGTTGTAGATTTTTTAGTGTTTGCGCAAGAAGTCCATTGAGTCCACAAAAGCATGCGATCTCAATTCTAAATTTGACTTAAAAAACACTCCTTGATCTATTGTATGTTTGATATATCTCAAAAGTTGATGAGCAGCATTGAAATGTGTTGTATGAGGATTTGACACAAATTGACTTAATTTGTGTACTACAAAACAAATGTCTGGCCGAGATAGCTAAATATAATAATTTACCAATAAGTCTTCTATACCGACCTGGATCAAATAATTTAGTACCAGATATAGCAGTAAGACTTGATGAATTTTCCATGGGAATTGAAGGGGGTTTACAGCCACTGAAAGTTGTTTCTTCCAAAAGTGAAAGAGCATAGCCTCTTTGTGAAAGATAGATTCTAGTTTTGGATCTAGCAATCTCTAAGCCTAAGAAGAAATTAAGACTATCAAGATCTTTCAACTTGAGGTGACTTTGTAATATTTGCTTTGTTTTGGCAATCAACTGCAGAGCTGGACCAACAATGATTATATCATCAACATAAACCAATAAAGCAATGAAAGATCCATGCTGACCTTTGGTGAACAAGGAGTAATCATGTTTTGATTGGACAAAACCATGTGATGCTAATGCCTTCTTCAAAGTGTCATGCCATTGTCTTAATGCTTGTCTTAGTCCATAAATGGACTTGTGAAGCTTGCACACCATAGGTTTCTTGGATGTGTTAGCTTTTGAAATGGAGTATCTTTGAGGGATCTTCATGTAGATGTCTTATGTAAGCTATTCATTCAAAAATACATTATTTATGTCTAATTGTGCAAGGTGCCAATTATTAATAGCAAATAATGAAAGAAGAACCCAAATAGTTGTGATTTTCACCATAGGGGAAAAAGTCTCTACAAAATCAAGACCTGATTGCTGTGAGAATCCTCTAACAATAGTCTAGCTTTGTACTTCTCAATAGTGCCATCAGGTTTGTTTAATCTTATATATCCACCTATAGGTTTATTCCTTATAGGCAGAGGAACTATGGACCAAGTTTGATTTTGATCCATAACTTGAAGCTCATCACTCATAGCATCTTGCCAATGTTTGATTATAGTAGCTTGATCATAATTCTATGGTTCAATCTTAGAAGTTACTTGGCCTATGAAATTTGTGTATGCTAAAGAAAACTTGTTATGAGACAAGTAATTTTGAATTGCATAGAGATAAGAATTAGTAGAAGGAAGTTGATAATGATGATAGTCCTGTAAGTATGATGGAGGTTGATAAATTCTAAAAGTTTTTCTAAGATTGTTATTTTGTGGTATAAAATTAAAATTAGATGGATGAATGGTTGGTGTTTTAGGCTGTCATAGTAGTAGGATGTAAATAATTATTTGGTAGATGATTAGGAGAAAGTTCCACAATAGGTATATTTTGTTGTGTAGGATAGTTTGATTCAACATGAGTTATGTCATCAATGGTGGTGACAATAGGATGCACTATTTTTGAAAAAAAATCTTTAGGTAAATCAAAGATAGTATTTTGTTTGAAAGGGAATATTTGTTCATAAAATTTTACATCCCTAGACACAAACACTTTCTTAGTAGCAATATCCATCACTTTATAACCTTTATATCCTGTAGGGTATCCTAGAAAGATTGTGATAGTGGCTCTTGGTGAGAAGTTATGTCTAGTTGAAGGAAGGGTAGAACCATAGGAGAGACAACCAAAGACATCAAAGGGAGTTATTCTTGTTTAAACTAGTTTCAACAATACTATTGTGACTATTACAAATGTACGAGGTTGAGTAATTTCCTAGTCCTCCGTTGGTACTTGTGGATTCAAGGGTACACAAAGGGGGATGCCTTTTGTCGCTCTAACTGTAACAGGAAGTACTACTCGAATAGTAACAGATCAAGACAGGCAACGAGCAGAAGTCATGATAAAAGGTCCTGGTCTCGGAAGAGATGCGGCATTAAGGGCTATTCGAAGAAGTGGTATACTATTAAAAAACAAAGGAAAAATTATAAGCATATGTAAGGCTTCCCCTTCGTGCCAGGCTGCCAGCTAACAGCTAGCAAGTGGTGATGTTCAACAGGCGGAGTATCCAACTCTTGTAACGTAGAACCATAGTTTGGATTGTATATGCGAGTATTAATATCATAATTCACTATTGATATTATTTCTTTTGAAAAAATATACTTAAGTTGAAAACCTTCTAAGTTGCTAGTTCAAAAGGCGGAGTATCCAACTCTTGTAACGTAGAACCATAGTTTGGATTGTATATGCGAGTATTAATATCATAATTCACTATTGATATTATTTCTTTTGAAAAAATATACTTAAGTTGAAAACCTTCTAAGTTGCTAGTTCAAAAAGCGGAGTATCCAACTCTTGTAACGTAGAACCATAGTTTGGATTGTATATGCGAGTATTAATATCATAATTCACTATTGATATTATTTCTTTTGAAAAAATATACTTAAGTTGAAAACCTTCTAAGTTGCTAGTTCAAAAGGCGGAGTATCCAACTCTTGTAACGTAGAACCATAGTTTGGATTGTATATGCGAGTATTAATATCATAATTCACTATTGATATTATTTCTTTTGAAAAAATATACTTAAGTTGAAAACCTTCTAAGTTGCTAGTTCAAAAAAAGAGTATGAGAAACGAAATTCACTGAAAATAGTTAAATAGATGTTTAACTAGTTTTTATATGATATGTAATGAAGTGTCATTAAGTTTTGATTAAATTATATTTTTAATTCTTTTATCTTATGAAATATTTAATTTTGATCTTCATTTTTATAAAACTTATAATTTTGTTAAATAAATGATATAATAATTAATATTTAATAATATTTAGACTTTATTCATTAAAATTGAAAATTTTAAATATATATTATATAATAATTAATTAAGATTATAGAAACTTAATAATCCTAAATCATATGACAATTTCTCATCTTGAGTACCGTGAAAAACTTGAAATAACCCACCTATCTTATATACAGCTAGCTCAATCAAACCTTCCAAAATTTAGTGGGCCATATTTATTGAAATGAACTTTTTAAGCCCGAACTCAGCCATTCCTCATCCCTGAACATTGGTTTTGGGTCATATTTATTGGGGTTGTAGGTAGCATATTACTCAATGAAAAATCTAAACGTGGGGTGGGTTAGTTAATTATTACGTAAATGGTATCGAATTGCTAATCATAATGATGATAAACTATGAGAAAGCTTCAATACTATCTTAAATAAGTTATAAGATTTTTTTAGTTTGATCTGATACAAAATATTATAAATTGTATATACTTTCTATTTTACATCAAGATATTATCTATTTTGAATTTAAATTTTTGTAATTTTCTTTTTATCATTATCCTAAAATGCTTTTTACTAATAAGACATATGTTTCTTAATTATAAACTTTATGTTCATCGATTCTTTTGCTTTAATTATATGAGATTTTGATTGTATCTTAATATTTTTTAAACTTTAGTTATATGTTTTTATAGTCTTTGTAGTTGACACCTATTGATCTTAATATTCTATTTTTTTTTATTTATCTTGTAAGTTAAGACATTTGAACATGATATTTAAATATTCTTTAACCATTGTATGTGACGCTTAATTCACTATAACAAAATTTATTTTTACCGACAATTATTTACTGGTAATAAATTAATTGCCTTTGTTTTATTATTTAATAAAAGTATTAGTGACTAATATATAATGGTCACTAAAAATATATTTATATCACACCAAAATTTACTATTAGCGACAATTATTTTAAGAAAAACTTTAGTCCCACATCGACTAGAAATAAGATAACTAAAGAGTATATAAATAAATAATAACCCTAACCTTACAAGTTTGTTATATAGGATTATGTTAGACCTATAACTTATTATTCTAAATTAGTATGAGATTACTCATTAAACTTAAGGGAGTCGACTATTGATCAGAAAATAATATATATATATATATATATATATATAATTAGAAGACAACCTTCATCTTAAAGTCCCACATCAACTAGAAATAAGGTAATTAAAAAGAATATATAAGTAGAAA